GTTCAAAAGAACGAATGGGTGGCTCTATCGATCCGACTCTCTGACAAGAAATAAGGAAACCGTCCCTGCGATATATTCCCATCTTTTGTCTTTCCTTCGTAAACGTTTAGATCAAATGGAATTCACTCAATCTAGTTTATGTATAACTACATATATAAGAGTTATATCTTCATATATCTTTTGAAAAAGAAGATTTGATATTGTCCAATCCGATTTTTAAAGTCTTTTTAAAAAATAACTCTAAACAAGTATTAATGGTATATTCTCCCATCGTCAATGACGGACTGTAAGGTTTAAAAAAGAAATTATTTTTATTTCTTCTGTTTGGAAATAACCATATAAATCATCCGCATTATTTTAAATCCTATATGATGTTCTATCATTCGAAGTGTAAAATAAACGAATTCGAAATGAAAAATTTTCACTTTTCTAGAAAATGGGTTCCATCGTCGATTGTTTGAGAAAATGTTAAATTGTACTGATACCATCCGTGATCGAGAGCCTTTGGAATTTACGAAATAAAATTCTTGGCCGGATTTCAAATCCGGGTCGATGGATCCGTAGAAAGCACTCTATCATTGTAACATCCGTATACATAGAATTCAGAACACAGAACAAGGATCACGGAACGCAGAATTCAGAACACTGACCATAGATCACAAATCACAATTACAAATCACTAAATCAATGCATTTCTAATATAACCAACTTTATAATTTCCTTCTCTCACTTTCTCTCTCTCCCTCTCTCTTTCTCTCTCTCTTTCTCTTTCAATCGTTTAAAGCATTCTAGTCTATTTTATAGATAATATTTTCATAAGTTAAGTAATCTAAATTTTTCGTCGTATTATAAAGAGCAATTGTACAAAATTTCATTTAGATTGAATAAAAATAGTAAATGTTTTTGAGAAATTACAAACATACACAGATTAAAGCTCTTATATTAATAATTATCTAAGTACAGAAATAATATACGATAATAGTATGTTTTTTAAAAGATATCGATCTCATCTTTTTCTAAAAGATAACGAGCCATTTATTAAAAACATAAATTTTCCGTTAGTAGATCACGGCCGAACAACGAACGAGATTAAAGAAATGGTTACGTTAAAAAGCATAACGTAAAAATATTATTGGAATTGATATCAGATAAGATCATAAAGATTCCAAAGAATAATATTGAAATTACGAAAAATGGCAAAGACTAAAGAATTGAACGAAACATCGATACGATTCGGTGATGATGATATCTTTGGAACATTTCTCGTGATAACGTCGAAGAAAACGAGTCGTCGATTAAAGGTCGTTCACATCTGCGCTCGATCGAGTATCTACGCATATATCTACTTACATATGTATATTGAGTGCACGTGCAATGAGTAGAAACGTGCGCAAGATATAGGTAAATTCCGTTATCAGCAAATGTTTTCCTCGTCTCTTCCAAAGCCCTTCGATAGGAACCTCACACCTGTGGGTACGTAGTTCTCGTGTTAATCTCGGAAATACGTTGGGTCACTTTGATAAAAAAATTCGATAACCAAATTGAGACTATCATAGGTGAGATAAACAATTTGAGGAAATTCCGTCATTTTTTCCTTCTCTCTTTGTTTTTTTTTTTTTCGAAAAAGATCTTTAAAAAGTAAACAATATTACTAAAAACTTTTCTTTACAATTTTACGTTGCGTTCCAATCAGGTAAGCTCTCTTGGTAGCAAAGAGTCGCGTTTTAAATCGGAGAGGACGACCATCCGGGGGTAGCCAGCAATTTATTTATTGGAGAAAGGGCTCGCTCCGTCCTTCGACTCGTCCTTCGGCTCCTTTCCTGTCCTAAGCAGGATTCAATTTGGCCACTGCTCACGGTTCCACCTTCAAAGAGGAATCACCATCGGCGTCGTATATAGCCAGAGCCGCCCTTGTCGACGTACCGAGTCGTTCGCCAACCTCCACTATTAATCTTATATCGAACGTTTTATCTACGTTCGCTTTTTTCCTCTTCGCTCGGTCCGGCGCACTCCCACGAAGACCTCTTCAACCCTTGGACGAGCAGGAATTTTCAATTCTTTCGAGCACCGTACGAAAGCAGATTGCTTCTCGAGTCAGTCCTCCGATGATGCTTTTAAACTTCGATAATTCGATGGAATTAGGAAATAAGAAGAAGAAGAAAAAATATATATCATGTGCGCCGATATATCAATGGAAAAATATAAAAACTTATTCGCTTTACTCGATCGTTCATCGATTGGTAATAGTCAATGATCGGTCTCGATCGAAATCCTTTTGCCGCAAAGTCTTTGGAAACAATTCAATGATGCGTATCGAAAAGAAAGAAAGAGAGAAAGAGAGAAGTTTGCGTCGTGTATCCATCAAGGATACCGCATCTCAGATGCCGCATCATCGGAGAAGGAAACCGCAAAGAGAAGATTCGAGCTCGTCTTTCCGTAGAAAGAAAGTTCCGAAGGCAGATCGGACTTTGTTGTTCGTTACCCTATACTCGATTGGTCCGTCTGCCAGTAAGCAGTTCGCATAAACAGAACCATCAATTCGAACGTTTCCCTCTTTCTCGAGCTTTTTTCCTTTGCCTCTACATGCACCCCTCGTCGTCTTTCATTCGTCGAAACCGGCGCGAACTCCATTCACGGGTTTATCACTGTCCAGATAACAACGATTTACCTACACGCGAGGAGGCTCGAGAGAGGTTCAGAGGAAAGGGCCAGACTCTCTGCCCAGGCATAGACCAGGCGAAAAGAAAAAGAGGGAGGCAGCCACCTCGCATTCAGAAGTATTTCACTTTAACGGCCCTCCGGGGGATTGGCTGACCCACGACTCGAGACCCTTCACCGTTTCGGCATAATGGACCTCTACATTACTTATTCGTCCTGGCCAATGTCCTGCGTCCCTGACATTACCTCCTTTCCACGTCTTTCCATTTACGTCTCTTCTATTAATCGCGTGCACCTAAACTCATTTTCAGATTTTCGTTTTTCCTTTCATTTTCTATAAAATCACTATTATCTACCGCAGTTATTATTATCGCTAGGAAGCAAGTAATGCGATTCTCGCGAGGACCAGTATAATTGAATTTTCTTGAAACGTGTGCACGCAACGTTACATTTTCTAGCTCCTAGCGCGTTAGCAATCTAAAGGGGGCGCTTTCGTTTTTTCTTCCATAGGGTCATGGAAAAGTTTGACAAAAAAGGGAGAGAAAAATAGGAGCATGCAAACACTCGGAGATTAAAGGAACCGCAGTAGTTCTACGTTAGGGAGTTCGCTCGATTGTAGCCTCGAGACATGCCGCGAGCTCTCGACCCTCTTCGAACCGGAACCAAGACCAGTTTTAATATTCCACTGGAAACTTGAAAACGTCTAAACGAATAGGTGCCCCGAATACGCTCGAGAATTCGCCTCGTTTTTCTATCCATTCTTCTTACGAACAAACCCTCGATTTTCCCGACATTCCTACCTACTAATCTCTCTCTCTCTCTATATATATATATATATATATTTCTCTCTTTCTCTCTTCGTCGAATTATTTGAACTTGAGAAAGCATTGCTTCGAAAATAGCTATCTGACCGATACGCGAATCGTTCGTGATGCCAAAGTACAGGACAATAGAGGGTCCAGCGGGGTAAACGGAGGTCAGCGGCCATTATCCGATGATATTGATTAGCCGACGCCCTTAGTTAGCGCCAGCTACACTTTCTTCAACCCCACTATCCTTCTTTTTTCTATTTCTTTTCTCCATATACCTCCCACCATCTCCCTCTCCTCCTCTCTCTTTCTTTCTTTCTCTTTCATACATACAACACACACTAACATAAAGACGAACATCGACTTAGACGCACGTACACGCTTCTACTACCACCATCTCAGACTTTGGTCAACACTCTCTCTTTATTTCCCTCTTGCTTTGCCTCTCGCTCGCCCTTCATGTTTCTTATTCTCTTGTCTCCTCCCTTCTCACCCTTCCACTCTCTTTCCATCTACCACTTGCCGTTACCTATTTTGCTCTCTTCCGCCCTCGTTAAGAAGTGGATAGACGGAAGAAACGCGGAGGGGAGAATGGGAGTTCAATGGGAGGGTGTGAGAAGAAAGATATGAGAGAGAACTAAGTCTCTCTTACTGACTAAATCATTCATCAAGCAACTAATACCGAGTCTGACTCACGTCTCATGCATGCAAGGGCGATGTAGTATTTACATGTTCCATAAGTCCACTGGATCTCGTACAGGATGTGCTAAAAGTTTCGTTTCTACATTTTACCACATTTTTCTCTTTCTCTTCTTAATTAAATTTTTCTAAGATATTTATACGATAATTAAAACGTTAAATATTAGATAAGAATTAAGGATTCAATATATATATTGTATTTTACTGACTCTTTTCTACTTTCTCTATTTGTTCTACAAATTGGGAGATTCAAGATATTTGGTACGTACTGTCCCCAGATTCCAGAAAAATGAGAGAGAGAGAGAAAGAGAGAAAGAGATAGAGAACAGAGCGTTACCCCTCTGTGTAATTAGACACTGCAGCCTGGAACAACATCCAGACGCAGGCATTGTTCCCAGAAATTAAGGGAAACGAGGGAAAACCGGGAAAACTAGCGAGGAATAGGGGATGCAGAGGGTCGCTAATTACGCGAACCCATTGGAGGGAGAGAAACCATTTTCTGCACACGCACAAGAACGGCCGTGTGAGTTATATTAATACAGACGTACGGCACACAGTTTATCTTGAGAACCTCTTTTGCAATTTGATCCCTCCAACGATATTGCCGGATATGTACACATTTCCCATTTAATGCCGTATTCTTTCTCGTTTGAGCTCTTTGGGCTTTTTGATATGATATTTATCAATATGAAATTTTTCTTCGGCTTTCAATAAATATCATACGAACTTATACGAAATTAATCATTAATTTTTAAAATAAATTACGTATAATCAAATATAATAAGTAATGTTTAATATGAAATATGTATAATCAATTGATATTTCTTGCTTCAGGTAAGGTTTGGATGGGCGACAACGAGGTCGCGTGGCGAACGGAACAATCCTTCAAGAGAACGTCTCCCCTTAATCCTTGTGCCACAACGACTACGACAACGACGACGACAGGTGGTGGAGCACCGATACACCCCCACCTGTCGCCACCCATAGCCGCCCCTGTGACGACTCCTGATCACAGAAGCCCGACCAGTCTTCACGCCAAACTTGCCATCTCACCTGGTAAGTATCTTTCTAATAATTTTTCTTACTATTAATATTCGATTATTTCCTATTTCTCTCTTTTTTTTTATTTATATATAATAACAAAATGTATAATTCGTAAACGAAAATAATGATTTAAAGATACCGACTTCAACTCGTTAGGGTCTCTCCTCGATTGAGCGGTCTTTCGAAAAGAACATTACGCACGAAACGTAATCTCGGTTTCTGTCCCTCTGAGATTTTCTGCCGCTTTTTGACGACAGTAGCCGCCGGCACACACAGTCGACGATCGAGGGTCGGCGACTTAAAACGGTCTTCAAGTAAGACTCTTTAAATAATGCAATAAGCTTGATGTCATTTGCCGGACAATGGAGGGAGTTCCTTTTACGGCAGAGCCCGATGAAATTGGCCCTCCGCGGGTGCCCACTTCCGCTCCGTTCCAGTACTTGGTATTTTTGCTTGCCTCTTGCCAATCACCGATTCTTTCTTTCTATTTTTTTTTTATATTCCTTTGCTTTTCTTTTTTTTTTTCTTATTCGCGTCTAATCGTGTACATATCCGTATATTTGTATATGTGTATGTGTGTGTCAACTTTGAGGGAAAATCGAGAGACGAAGGAAAAGCAATAGCGTCGCAACGGATCCTTTCATTTGCTTAAATAAATATTACTCGGACAATGTGCCGAAAGACGACGAGCTACGAAAGATACGAGATATAGTGGAGGGATGAAAGAGAAAAAGAGAGAGAGAGAGAGAAGTCCTTCCTCATTCCTTACTATAGAAGCTTTCCGAGCATAGAGAAAAGAGAGAAAGCACTCTTCGCGGCATGTTTAATGCATCGTTCAACATTTCCATGTCAAACATCGCTTTGACTCGCGGAATTTAAAACCGTCTTGTAGAAGAGAAGTACCTACGCCCGCGAGTACACATATACCAGTTCTCCCTCTTGTCTGTACGTCCATGTTCGAATACGTTGATGGGAAAACTACCCATCTTTATTTACTGCCCGACCGTTTCTGACCGAGCGCTAAAGTCTCGGATGGTCGATAAGGGTCGAAACTTAAAAGCCACGACGAGGGTGAAACGAGAGACTCAATGAGATTCCTATTGGCGGCTTTAAACATCGATTTGCCTTCGAAAATATCATCTAAGCGAATATTGTCTATGCGCATTAGTTAAAAACGAGTCGAATTTCACGTTAACTCGAATCTACGAATAATGAAATGGAATTTAAAGAAAATCTTTTTCCGACATTTCATTTATGAATTATAGTAGTATGATGAAGATCGTTAAAAAATGGAATAAGAAGAGGGAGAGAAAGAGAGAGAGAGAGAGAGAAAGAGAGAGAGAGAGAAAGAGAGAGAGAGAGAAAGAGAGAGAGAGAGAGAGAGAGAGAGAGAGAGAGAAGATGACCCTATAAAGAAGAATTCTTTTCGAATCTATTTGCCTCGCAAAGCCGCTCCAACCTAGCTGCCAAACGTGTTTATTCGGTATATCAATAAGAACGAAGTGGTCGGGAGGAAGGACCAAGTCCCACGAGAATCTCCTTCTTCCTCAACGATGGTGGCTTCTCCTGGACAGCTTGATAACATTATGTTTCTTGTGCCGACACATGCACCAGCAGTTTTTGAAGGACGAGGGGAAGGGTGGACGCCCTAAAATATTATCGAATCGCCGACGCTTTCACCGAGACATGTGTTGCGAGATCGGCTCTGTTCTTTTTTTCATTGGGTGTCACCGAGCCGGGAATGGACCATAATACGAATATTGTAGAAAAAATGGTCGAATGTCGTACGATAAATCATAACTGTGATTAAAAAGAAATAGTTCATATCGAGCATATAATGTTTCTCAGATGAATTTGACAAAATAATAGACAACAATGAAAAAGGTATTTTCCTTTTAAATAGTAACTTCAAACATCTTATGTACCCTTTTAAATGATAATTATAAAAGCTGTTAAAGCGTATAACGATTCGAATATGCATTATATTCAATCCTTTCCCTTGTCTTTCGAGTTAAGTAGATATTTCTCCCTTAAGATCATCATTCTTCTTCTCTCGATCCTATTCTTACATCCTAATAATGTATTTAAATGTCATTTAGTAAAAGAAATCCTGTGAAACATATTTTAAGAAGAATAGCCAAAAGGGTAGCTGAAAAATAATCTAAGATCATTTTTCTAGATTAAATCGAATTTTTGAGAGAGTCTTCTTTAATCTTTTTAACATCATTACTCATTACTATCTACTTTTTAGCGAGTTATAAAAGGATTCTAATCTCGAAAGTGCTATTTATATTTCCATTTTATCGTACAATTGAATTATCGAATGCCGTCCGTATGCGAACCAATAACCGGAGTCTACGTGTCCGAACTATTACATGGAAGTTTCATATGTCGTTGGAGGGGTGGCGAGAAAGGGTGACTTGAAATATTGGCTACATAGATTTCAACCATTATTGCCGTGTGTAAAACATGGCGACATTTGGCGCTAAATCGATCAGGTCTTACTACCTCGTTCGATGTTTGAGATTGCTCGCGATATACAGATACGGTGTTGAGTTCGAAAGAGAACAGAGAAGATTCCTTTCTTAGGCAACTACGAATTTAAAAAAAATAAATTTAAAAAAAAATAAATAAAGAAGAAAAAAGAGAAAAAAGAAAGAAAAAGGTCTTAGTTTTCTTTTCACTTTTATATTCAATCAAAATAACTGCCTGAGACTTCTTTAATAAGAAGTCTACATATTCCTTACGATTCAGAGAATATTTCGAATATAACGAACGAGAAATACACACACATTACTTATCTCCGACGAGGATCTCCCGTCGTTCCAATTGAAATCTGATTTAACTCGACTTTCTTGCGCTCTTGCCAACTCGCTACCTTCCACCTAATTGTTTCAAATCGACCTTTTTTTACCGGAAAAAGATCAGATCTATGCCTTATCCTCTTTTTAAAAGAATCTCGAACGAATAAAAAGATTTATTCTCATTAACGTTGTTTAAAATTACTACAAAATTAAATGAACGTATTCGATTTGACGAATTGTTAATTAATTAGTTTAAAATAAAATACGAAAGTACAAAATGATTTATATAATGATTATTCTTCGAACAAAAATTAAAAAAGATTTACTTGGCAATAAACAAATTTAATGATTTTAACGTATTGAAACTAAATTTATTAATTATAAGCAAACCGTTCGTAAGGCTTACGCAATTGTTAAAGATTAGTAACGATGAAGGAGATGTATAAAGATATCTGCTAATCGAACAGTCGATTAGGCCATATTAAAGTTGTGCCTTGGAATATCGTTCGTGAATGACGCCGTTAGGATCTTCATTTGTCATCGCGACAGGTGCTGGCAAACGCGGATCCTTCGAATAAATCGCGCCATTTCGAGCAATGAATCACTTAACAAATAAGAAACGACATAGTTTCACGCCTCGGCATGGGACTATTAAATCCTAATGAATTGGACATAATGTTTAATATACGCCTGCATAATTGGGTTAAGTAACACATAGAGTATTATTATTTGAAAGAAGATCTACAATAAAAGCGAACAAATGAAATTACGTGAAATTATTGTACCTACTCGTTACGCATGAAATAGTAACGTGAGAATCTTTAGTTCGTCTATCTTCTTTGTTCAAAAAAGTATGAGGCAACGTTAGAATTAGGACTATGCTGGCCGTTAGGTCCATTTTAATGGGCCGTTCCTATGAAACAAGTAAGTAATTAACTGAATCGATCTCTGGACGATAACGTAAAAGATTATCACTAGAAAAAAAACTCGATAATACTGAGATTGATAACGAACTTTGATGAATTTGACTAATTTATCGTAAGATCGTAATTAATTATTCGACTGAATTATCGATCGAGCGTGTACGTGCCTAACGTAAAGGAAAACAAAAAACAAGAGAGAGAGAGAGAGAAAGAGAGAGATGGAGAGAGAGAGAAAGAGAGAGATGGAGAGAGAGAGATAGAGAAAGAGGGAGAGAGTGAGAGAAAGAGAGAGAGAGAGAGAGAGAGAAAAGATATGTTGCGACTCACCGCTAAGTGTACCTACCCATTACGTATGAAATTTATAATATCGCGCGATTTTCTATAATTAATGGATTACACCGAAGAGAGACGCGAGAGCGCGCGCACACACGCGAGAACGATTTTTGAGATCATAATTTTAGATAGGCCGTACCCCGCTCTCGCTGACGCAAATGGCGGCGTGTAGGCAAATTGAGGTGAGATTGGAGGTCAGGATTCTACCGACCGTTACCACAGCGTGCGCTGCCCACTCTACTGGTCGTTGCAAAACTGACTTTTACCTTTGACGATATATCTTCCGTGATAATCATCGAAATCCGATCTAATAGATCGATCTCTTCTACGATCTTTCAAACTTTATAGATACATCAATAAATTATTCCTATTTTAAGATCGTATTCTATTTAGAATATTAGAAACTGAGTTATTCTATTTTTTGGGGAGGGCCTTAAATAGGATTATTTTTTCATCGATAACCTTTGAAGAAAGGTATAGAAGAGAATACCTAGGCGGATCTTGTTCTATCTAAAATATCTCAAGGATCTTTGTTTTCTTTCTCTTACGATTTTATTTCAAACGACTAATTGCCCATTAAAAGTAAATGGAACTACTGATTAAGGTCAAGAAATATTCTCTTTATAGGAGTTTGCCTTTTCTCGAACGAACGATCGGCCGATCTTATAAAAGGGATTTTTTATTAACTTCAAGAATATCGATATAAAAGTGAAGTTTGAATAAATTTCTTTTCTGAGCAATCACGAAATTCGAACTCCAAGTTAAATGATTTTAATTTTAGTATAAACTGCGAATCAAATAATTAACAAACGGTACATGGATACTTATCTTTCTACTATCGATGTTAAAATCAATATCGAATTTGACTTACGTGATTAAAACATTTTATTTTAACTTGCATATTATAGATTTCAATATTTCTCAATTCGCAGTCACGCTTGAAAAAATTTCT